CCCCAAAACCCCAAAACCCCAAAACCCCAAAACCCCAAAACCCCTCTTTAAATCTGAAAGTTGAAGAATACTTTTACTCATCTCAAGTCAGCCATTATAACTAGTATCTCTTGTGCTTTGAAATACTGGTATTCAGGTTGGAGTATTTGTGCTTTTCATCAATATATTCAGCACTCTTTCTGTGCTCGAAGAATGAATAGGCATGAGCTGGTCTTGCTGGGTTATACTTGTTATATTTCTTATAGGCTCTCTCTATCAATGGAGTCTTGATGTCATAGAAAGCATGATTGGGAATCTTCTCGAAGATTTGGTCAGCTAGGCTTTGTGAAAGAGAATTTCTATAAGCATCTCTCATATCTTCAACGTAGGAGTATTCTTCTCCTTCTTTGACGATTCCGATTTGGTTGTCAATGACGTCCTGAATTTCTTCCCTAGAGTACATTAATAAAAGAGTTCTTACTCAGGTACCAAAGAATTGCTGATGCTGAATAATTCTTCTGGCTCAATTTCTACATCTCCTTCAGCTTCATCAAATTCTCCTGCTTCATACTTCTCTGCTGTCAGATATTCAGCTTTCTCCAAAATTTTGATAATTGGATGAACGAATTTTTCCTGAGTTGAGTGTAGCACAGCAGGAGAATCACTGTGGAATTCCTTTAATTTCTGTTCATAATTGAAGAAATCTAGGTCTTCATCAGAATTGTTGGTATGAAGTCTCTTTGGTCGTGGGGTATGGTCAGTCACAAAAACATTTTTCATATCACGAAGAGCTAAATGTTAGAATTCAAAAATACCTTTATCTTCATAAGCATGGTCAACAAAGGCCTGGTACTCTTGCTCTTCCTGGACCTTCTCTCCCATGGACTGGTGTTCAGGAGCCTTGGAAGCCCACTTGCGCTTGAGAAGGCTGAACTCTCTCCTCTGTGCGACCTGGGCCAAGAACTCTCTGGCGCTCGTCTCTGTGAAGTAGCTGGGAGCAGTCAGTAGTTTGGCTCCCCAGAGTGGGGCTCCACTGTCAAGGGCAGCTGCCTTCGGGTCGACCCTCCAGAGGTTGTGGACGATCTCTCTGCCCATCGCGGTGCTCTGGAAAGTGAAGATGTCTCTTTCGTCTAGCTTGTGGTCCACTGTAGGACCGAAGTTTGAGTCTGGAGGCTCATGGAATGGGCTGTCGTTGTCAACTCCTCCGAAGTTGACTTTCTGATCAGTGTCTTCGATGGAGCGGTAGAACCAATTCATCTTGGTGGTGCCTTCTTTAGGAGATCGCAGCTTGGCTCTCTTGGACTCGTGGATCTCAGTATAGGTGGCTTGCTTATCCCAATCATCGTGGAATGCGTTCTGGCTGCCCTCAGCGATTCCGTCATTGAGTTTGTGAGCAGCGCCTCCGACGAGATTTGTGAACTTGACACCGAGGAGGGCTTCTTCGGGAGTCCAAACGAGGGGAACATTGCCAGCTTTCTTGATGTGATTGACTTGATTAGGGTATACTCCTGAACTCTTATAAGATCCTCCCATTCCTTTTTCTTCTCTAGTCTTATGTACTCTCCAGAACTTCAGAACTTCCTTATCTATTTCTTGGTTTGAGTAATACCTAAGAAATCCTGTCGGGAGAGCTGCTACCAATAAGACTGGAACTGGCCTCAACTTGAAGATAGGAGATCTCAAAGTGAACCTTGAAACTTCATTGAGGAAGAAAACTCCAAGACTTGCCCCAATTCCGTACAAAGTAGTCCTTTTCCTGAGCTCTTCAACTTTCTTTGGGAGGTATTGAACTGACCCGAATTGCTTATAGTTGTCATAAATCGTAGCAATTTTAGCGTCTGTCATTTTATTCTTTTTTCCAAATAATATTATATTATTAATTCTATTTATTATTATAACTTCGGGGTTTTGGGGTTTTGGGGTTTTGGGGTTTTGGGGTTTTGGGG